TTTTTTCTGGAGAAGTGAGGAGAGCCTTCAGCCTTGCACAGCCAGATTGAAGACTGCATGAAACTGTGCATGTTTCCGTTTGTTTCATTGTTTTATGTTGACTCATTTGTATTTGTTTCTCTGTGCCACTTTTTGCTAACTATATTTGAAGTTTCTAGTAGTGTAGAAAGGGACAAATTATAAAAAAGTAGTAGACCTAAGGACCCAACTCAAGTATGGGACTTTGCTTCTCTTTATGAATTTGAGAATTATTTATATTGCTCTGTTCCATGGTGCCATCAGATGATTCAGTCATGCTTGCCAAAGGCAGTCTAACCTTGAAGGCTATGCATCTGGTTTGCATATGTTTTAGCCTTTTCTTCTGTTTGCTTTATGTATTTTCTAAAACATTGAATAAATTGAGTCATTTCTATCAAGGGCTAGGACTGGCCATAGTGACTTTAAGTGCCTACTTCATGGCAGCTAATAGTAGGTTATGCTCTGTCTCTGTTCATGTAATAGGGGCTGCTTTCCTACTTAGGGATGATTTTTTTACTTTATTAGTATTTATTTCATGCTGAATTTACTCCTGGACCATAAGTTTTTGTTTCTTCAGTTTCGTCTGGGGTATCTTTTCCTTCTGTGCAAAATCTTCTTCTGGTTTAGGAACAACCTGCTCTTCTTCAGTAAGGAGCATCTCCATGTGGCAGGGAGAGCTCATGTATGAGTTAATCCGCCCATGGGCTCTGTAAGTTCTGTGTTGCATCTTTGGAGCTTTGTTCAGCTGGATGCGCTTAATGACTAGAGAATCTGCATCTAAACCTTTAAGTTTAGCATCACTCTCTGCATTTGTAAGCATGTGCAGCAAAAACTCAGCACTCCTTTTGGGCCACCGACCCTATGTCCAACCCCACTGTTTGGCCTGGGCACACCTATGAACGCCACCATTATAATGATGGAATGGCACACATTGCTTCTGTAAACTGGCACCCTCACATACTTGGTGGCTTTTCAAATATGCATACCCTTGGTGGCCTGGGCAGTTTTATGAGTGCTCTTTTTTAAGTTTATTTTTTATATATTTTTATTGATTTCAGAGAGGAAGGGAGAGGGAGAGATAGAAACATCAATGATGAGAGGGAATCATTGATCAGCTGCCTCCTGCACACTCTACACTGGGGACCGGGCCTGCAACCTGGGCATGTGCCCTTGATCGGAATCAAACCCTGGACCCTTCAGTCCGCAGGCCGATGCTGTACCCACTTTGTCAGACCAGCTAGGTCTCATAAGTGCTCTTAAAGTGAAAACAAAGATTTGAACCTCTTGATTTGAATAATTTTGTGAAGTTTTCTGAGTAGCGAACCATTTTTAGAGGTCACCTCAGGCCACTTATGGGAAGAGTCAGAGATGATTTCTTGCCACTACAATCTTTGCCCTGATGTTGTGTTTTTAGGACTGTGTCTGGTTGTTATTTGCTAGCTAAGGGAATAGAGCAGAGATGAAATTCTAAGGGTTCCCCTTATTCTGAGCCTCTTCATCCTAACCCCCATCAGAAAAGGTTAGGAAAGACCAGATGCTGTAATGACTATGAAGACTCCCTTAAAAACCATGGATGCATATGTCGTTGTTTTTTTTTAGCTGCATATGTTTTCTTTTTGTTAAGGTTTTCCACTCTGTAATCTTTAAGCAATAAATAAATTCTTCATTTTAAATGGATTGCTGTCACTTTATTAAACCACTTCCAAAAGGAAACTGGAGAGATAAGCAGTTAACTATGATTAGGAAATGTCACAATATGCTGTCAATACTGGAGCTCCTTCTAAAGAGCTCCTAGGATAACTCCTAAAGAACTAAGCAAATCATCTCATATTACCATAGAGCTCCAATATTTTTATTGAATTATGTTTTAGTGGAATGAACATATGGTTGAAATCCCAGCTCTACTACTCACCTTGGACATGTTTCTATACCACTTAGAGCCTCCATTTCCTCATCTGGAAATCAAGGGTGATAATGCTTATTACCAAGAAGCATCTGAGGGTTTTCTGGAAGTAGTTCAGCTAGACCCAGGTCTGGTCCCAATTGATGAAGTTGGTGTTTCTCTGGTAAATGTATTCTCAACTTTTGTCTGCCACTTCAGGTACTCCAATTCCAAATTGAAGTTAGTAAGCCAAGGGCAGAGAAGGGGAGGTCAGTATTATGGGAAGGGCCTATGGAGGAGGGATAAGGACAGAAGGAATGCTGGGGGCTAACTAATGCAGGGAAGAAGTGGAATTAAGGGAGATAGACATGTTAAGGGTAAACTAAATGAAGCCAAGATTAGGTGAGAAGTTATAGGACAGCTTGAAAACCAAAATGATATAAAAATATTACCTCCCTCCTCCCCCGCAGAAACCCAGAATTTAAAAGATGAGAAGAGAATGGGGAAAAGGAATTGAGTGTCAGAGGCAGAAGGTGGGAGAAGAGGCAGGGTTTAAAAAGAAGATAGGCCTTTTCAGATGAAGGAAGGCAGGGGACTGGAACAGAAACAGATAAAAAGTACCCAGGGCACATGGCTGGAGAGACTGAGATCAGTGAGGGTGGCACATATGCCACACATGGCATCCAAGGGTGAGAGAGGTAAAAGAACCCTATCTAGTCTCTGTCTGATACTGCAGCCCAAGGGCAGCCAGAGCTCTGCTGAGAGGCAAGGGGGAAGGGAAGATAACAGGAACGGACAAGGTCAAATTCATGTGTCTGCAGTGGCCTTTCATTCCTTCCAATACCATATCTCATTGTAATCCTGGGCAACTCCTTTGCCATTGCACTCCAGTCCTGCAAGGCATATTGCCACCCTGATTCTCCATCCCACCCAACATACACATATATGATACCTCACAAAGTCTTTAAAAAAACAACAACAGCCCAGTGATTCTGACTTTTGTATATTACAGACCTGCACTGGCCAACATGGTATCCACTAGCCACCTGCAGCTTTTGAACACTTGGCATATATCTAGCCTGAATTGAGATGTGTAGCAAGCAGAAAATATACACAGGGTTTCTATAGGGGGACTGCTCTGTGCCAATGGCCTACCAACCTCACACTATCCTCATAAGTCACATAGGCAAGGCTCAAATGCAGGCTGCACTGGGTCTTGGCGAATGCCCTGTAATTCTATAGGAACATGGGAAGATAGGCAGTCTCACAAGGAGCTCCTACAGATCATTCTCACTCACCTCCTTATCTTGAGGGAGGCTGCCATGAGGCAGTTTCTCATCTGTCTCCTTCATTCTGGTGAGGCATGGCACTTTATGCCTGCCCCCCAGCACCAGAGGGGGCATCTGCAGGCCATAAAACTGCTTAGCTGCAGTTTGGAATTGGCAATTCAGCAGCAAGGTACCCCAGCATCCATGGTACATGTCATAAGGCTCCTTTTGTTTCATTGTTGTCCTGTGGGACAAGGGGCGCAGGGACCTAGTACCATTGCTGTTCTTGCTTTTGCTGTCTCTCTAAGTAATAAATTGTCTGCATCTATGTGGGTTTCTTGTTTCTTTATAAGCCTGTTTCACAATTTCTAAGACTTCTCTTTTAAAAAAGGAATCTAAAATATCATTAAGAATCGTTTTATACTGATTACATGTTGAAATAATATTTTAAATATACTGTGTTAAATAAAATATATTAGCAAAATTTGCTTCACCTGTTTATTTTTACCTTTTAATATGGCTGCTAGAAAGTATTAAATTGCATATGTGGCTCACGTTATATTTCTATTGGACAGTGCTGTTATAGATTGGTGAAAAAAGAAAAACTATGGTACCAAAGAGGGACTAGCAGAGTTTTATTTTGCCAGAAAATGGCATTTATAAGAAACTATCACCACCAATTATTTACAAGGACATTATACATATAATCTAGAGAATAGACCTTTAAATTGAATAAATGTAACTTTATGGCCACTTACTGCATTGTTCTTTTTTGTATATTGTTTCAGGCTGGTAAAAAAAAAAATTCCTCAGATTAATGAGAATGGTATTGAAGAACCATTGCCATAAGAGCTCATTTGGTGAGGGTATAACTAGCTAATGTGTGTAGGGCATTAAGAAGAAACCACTTCAGGTAACCGTGGTGGATGTAGTCCTTTTGGTCCAGTAGGTATTGGACTCATCTGGTAACCTATGTTTTGCAGTGCTGCTGTGGCTTCTTGGCCCACCTTCTCTTCCCACATGCAAATAAGAGAAGGGTGTAGAATATCAGAGTCAAAGAATATATATACAGAGGAACCAAAGTAAACAAATACAAATTTATTCTTTTCAAAGAAGATTTCAAGGGAAAGGAGAAAAGCACCACAGTGAGTGGCAATCAAAGTTAACTAATTTTTTCCCAGCCCTGCCTCTTTGTCTCAAACATTTCCAGACTTATGTGTCACCCTTGTCATCTCCCCTGAATCTCTTCCCCAACTCCCATCCTCGTGACCAGTTCTTGCAGCCAGCAAGCAGCATAGCAGGCTTCAGTCCAGCCTCAATACTGCCCTGGGGACAACAAGGACATTCAGCAGGTCCCTCCGCCAAATGCAGCAGCTGTGGGAGGAGATGGAGGCTGGGAGCTGAGCCCTGGCCTTGAGCCTTTCCCTCTCCCACAGCCATGGGTGTTAAAAGAATAAGAAGGAACTGAAATATTCCTTTGTTTGTAGGGCCAGATTTGGCAGGGAGTCCCAGAGATAGAGGTGCCCTGCTGAGCAACTAAGTCTCCACAGCTCTAGGGCAAGGCCTCTAGTTTTCTCCTCCAGGACTGTTTATCTTAAGGCAGCTACTTCCTTGGTTATTTGTCACCTATGTCAAAGAAACTTTGATGAAATTCTTGGCCTGAAATGGTTTCAGAGGCCACAAGTCTACCATTGAGAATGTATATTGAAGGAACACCCTAGCCTGAACACACCACCTCAGACAGTATGAGTATTCCTTAAAATGAATCTGGAGGCAAACCATCTCCCAGAATTGGCCTTTGCCTGTCCTCAGGATTTCTTATTACTGTAACCTAACAGCCCAGTTCCTGGAACAGATAAACTCAAACAGGTTTCTGACAATAAAATATTTCCAAACTTTGGGCCTTGAAGGAAATGGGTATTTGAAAGCCTTGATTTCAGCCTTTCCATTCTGGAGGGAAGGGCACATGTCTTCCTGGGTAGGGCCCTCCCTAAGGTTCCATACAACAAATAGCCATATGTCCTCCAGCCAGTCAGACTTCCCTAACAATTTTCCAGTCAACATGACCCCACTATGCTTTCACTACAAGCAGAGGTACCCTCAAAATGGCTTTTTGGCCTATATCAGATTCCGTTGAGAATAAATGGCCTATCAATCCTGTTTATTGATACTATTTGACAACAACCTCAGCAAACACGTTTCTTATCACAGATGCTAACTCTTCAAGTCAGACGTTTTCCTCAGGCTGCCTACCCAGCAACTCCCTTCACCACACTTTCAGTTGAGGGCCATAAACTATGCAACATCACACACGATACCTCCAGGAAACACATACATGACAGATGCTTAATGACATACACCACATCTCAGTAAATGTCACCTTAATATGGATTCACAGTGCCCAAGGATCCATTTACCTCACTACAGGAAAACTGCCTGCACATGAGGTAGTGACCGTCACTGAAGCTTTGAGAGATAAACAGGCATGCCTTGGAGATATTTTGGGTTCAGTTCTAGACTACCACAATAAAGTGAGCCTCACAATAAAGTGAGTTGTAATCTTTTTGCTGATAGAGGGTCTTGTGTTCAATTGTAAAAACAATGCAACGTCTGTGAAGCTCAACAAAACAAAGTGCAATAAAAGGAGGTATGCCTGTACTTACCTCGGACATTAAGGTAAAAACAGGACCACAAAGTGTCAGTAACCCTGTTAGTGAGAATTCAACACTTCACCTGTTGCTTCAGTCCACCTAACAGCACAAATCCTACATAACAAAATCTACATCTTCTCTACTATGCCTGGCCCACTGCAGTTGCCACAGGCCCTCAGCAGCCCTGGATCTCTTGAGTGGAGTGAGGGTTACAGAAGGATCTTCCAGGATTTCCCTGGTAAAAGATTGTTTTATAACATCTGACCTCCTAAGGCTTAGGCAGCCATAAAACCTCAAAGACCCGAGCTTTCTGTTTTATAGCAAATTTCTTCTATCCCATTCCTGCCCACTATCTAGGCCACTACAAATATAGCTTCCCCCCACTCGTGGACAGATTCCTAGGCTCCGTGTTTAATGCCCACCTACCACCTGCTCATCATATATCTGGATACCTAAGTCCTTCTGCCCAGAGACCTCTTCAGCAATAAGGTAGATGCTGTGATGAGGTCTGACACTGTGGGCCTCTGGCTTAATGCCCTGCGGTGATTCTAGAAAGAGGCAATCCTAGGCTTTTGGATCCAAGCTGCTGCCTTCCCTCCTATGCAGCAGATAAATCTAGCTTCCCAGAAGCTGTATCCACTGGCACACTGCTTGATTATAACACAGCACCCCAAGCATCTCATACCCTCCTGACCTCAGTGGCAACCACAGCTTTCTTCATGGACCTGAGCTAGACTTAAGAACTGGAAGGGGCTAGATAATGTATTCTGTGTCTTAGCCTTTTACAAAGGCTACTAAAAGCCTATTTGACTTCTTTTCTGCATGGGGTAGGTAAAGCTTAGATTTGCTCTATTTTGGTACCTGAAGCATCATTTAGAGGATCCCTGGAAAATTCATCCAAGGCCCAGGTCTCAAGAGAACAAGATTTGCACTGAGTAAAGAGAGTGACTCTTCCTGTTAGATTCCTCTATGGCCACAGGCTTCTGTTGCTTTGGTATTAAAGACAGCTCACCCCAAACATGAATAGAGAGACATCCTAGGGGAGCAGCCAGGATATATCTATCTGTTTAACCAGAGGCTTGGGCTAACAAAAAGCAAGGCAGAACATTAATACTTCAAGAGGTATTAGAATTTAATGTGTGAGTGAGGCCAGAGGAGTACTGATATACAGTCGATATGTAGGATAGATATGTATGTATATAAATTTAGGCAAATGAAGTCAATTTTAGGGCTCTAGGTTATAAAGCTCCTTTTGAAAGAAAGCTGCCTCAGTGGGCTCTGACTGTTCAAAGTTCCCAAGGTCACTTCCCCCTCCCCCACTATCTACCCTGAATAGTTTCTGGATAAAGGGATCGTGGTATACATTGCCTAGTAAGAGTTAGTTCAGTTTGAGGTTTGGGTTCACCTTCTGGAGAGAATAGTTTTATGCAAAGGAAGGCCAGGCTGTTGCCTGGATGGAAAATGGTCAGTGGCTCCTAGGAACAGGCCACTATTCAGGGTGGCCCATTGCATCTGCCTTAGGATTAGCTGGGGACAATCAGCTACCTCATCCAATTCAGCCTAAAAGAAGAAATGTTGTTGGGCAGTCACACTCTTCCAGGCTAGTTGGTGGCTTCCTCTTCTCACCCGAGGAGAGCAAGACCCCCTTGCTGAGTAAGTTGCTTCCCCTCCCCCAGGGTTGTGAGAGTAGATTCAGAAGAGCCAAGGGTGGCTTCACCTGGATTTTCAAAGCAACTCAGCTGGTCTCTCATGATGCTGAGGCCTTCAGGAAAGAGGAGGATGGGGGGTGGGGGTGGAATCTGAGCCCATAAATATTTCTTTAATGTTTCCAAATGTAAGGTGGAAATAGGAGCTACAATGAACTGTTCCCTTCCCCATGAGAAAGGTCTGCCAGTAGAGGTCTGATGCAGAGGAACTGAAGATGTGAGGAGGAAACAACATCTAGGTAGCATCAGGATGGCTAGAGGTATGCCCTTGAGCTGAAGTAATATGACACATGCTGCCCCCAGATTTTTTTCAGGAGCACTTTGATGGAGAGGGGTTGTATCAGGGATACCCTTTTACCTTTCTGAGTTGGGCCAGAAAATAGGGCTAACTACTATGGATTCATAATGTTGGAACCCTGGGGTCATTAGGCTTCCCTATCTCCATAATTCCATGGAGAAGAAAAGGAAACAGCAAGCATTACTTAGCTCTGCAAGGCAGCTTCTTTGCTCCCCATCTGAGTGGCCTCCAAGTGCTATTTGCCTGGGCTGCAATAGAAATGTACTTAAGGGACCAGTCTCAGACTTGAAGATTAAAGGGCACATTTTTGGAGTCATAGGAATCATTCCTTTCCCGCACACACCCACCTCACATACCACCAGATCTCTGCTGCTGCCTAGAGCCCAAATAACTCTGGCTGAGAAATGTGGGGCCAGTGGGGACTGGAAAGATTGGGTGAAGGCTGAGGAAAGGCTTTGACAGAACTAGGAGAGAACTATGCACTATAGCATGGGGATATGGCTCCATCAAGAGGCCAGCAGTGTGTTGGCAGTCACATCAGAGCTTCGCACACTGGGGAAGGCATGGCGAAGCTTCTCCATAATGTCCTCCAAGCACAGGCTGACATTTTGGCTCTTTGACCCCACATCATCTGTGTTGGAAAAGAGAAATTTGGAAAGGAAACTAGAGATTCCCTAATGAAGCAAAGGGGCTGCAGTAGGACACCACAAGCTGAAGGGCAAACCCACAGCATTTGTGTCTTCTCAGGTGGTGCTACATGGATGGTGCTCAATATACATATTCAGAATTTAAAAAAATGAATGAATTAGTCAATAAGCCAATCATCCATGATGCTAGGCTCAAAGCCACGAGGAGAAACCAGAACCAGCCCTAGCAGAACTTTAAGTAGGAGATCTAGGGCAGGACAAAGCATGGAGGAAGGGGCTGGGGGAACTCACCTGCAGCCTCAGTGTCTGGAGTAGTCTGTCCCTTCTCCTGGGGGTGACTGCCTTCTGACTGCTGTGGAGAGGAAGCTAGGGACGAGCCTGCAGAGCCATTGCCATTTGATTCATTGGGTGGCTAGGAAGAGGTAATGCATGACTTAAGTGGCTTTGCCTTCCTGACCTTACTTTGACAGACTCCTGAACTTAGAAGGGGCCTTAGAGACCTCATGTCCATCCCTTTGCCCTTGGACTTCAAGAAACTTTGGTAGTGCCCCAAACAGTGGCCTACCCTTTGTGGAAATTTCTTAGAATATTTAATTACCAATTACCTTCCTCCTTCAATAAGATGTATCAAAGTCCCCCAGTTCTTATAAGAATGGCATTGCACCTAAGGGTCTCTTGTTGTTATGTCAGCTATAATTATGCTGTTCAGAAACAAATTCTCTCTAGAAATGTGGAGTTGCACACCTGATCCTCAATTCATAACATATCATATATTAGAGACCTCCAAGCATCTAGAGGACATCCCTTGGAGGATCTGGGGAAGAGGCAGGGTGTGGTATCAACTGGTATGTATAATGACAATAGGTAACATTTATCAAGTGTTTACTATATTCCTGGCATTGTACAAAATTCTTTAAATGCATTATCTCATTTTATGGTCACCACAATTCCATGAAGTTGGTATATTATTATCCCTATCTGACAGATGAGGGTACCAGGGATTAGTGAAGCTAAGTAACTTTTCTACCACCCCACAGTCACTAATTGGCAGAGCTACATTCAAACACAGGGCATTCTGATTCTAGAGCCACACTATATAATATACACTATCTCTCAAAGAAGAAAAGGATAAACAGTAAAAAGAGCTCCCTTCACAGAAAAAAATCTTGCTCTTGCCAAGCATGTTCAAACTATTCTTTCCAGCAGACATAAGAGAAAAATCAGTTTTGGATGATTCTTTGAACTTTGTTTTTTCAATACTGGGTTCAAATAGGTTATAGGGAAGTGAGTTCTCAGAAGTCCTCTCTCTACCCCAGACCCCACAGTGGCTTGAGAGTAACACACAAGGATGGAGTGAAAGTTAGATGGAAGAGAATTGGCCAAGTAATGCAACATACCAGGCCTTCCCTTCCCTTCCCTTCCCTTCCCTTCCC